AATAGGACTACTTAATTACCAGCTATGCCCAGCTTCTATACATATTCCTCTATAGGAAACAGCTAAATCTAAAACAGCTTAAAAAATAAAAAGTGAAGGGCATTTATTGAGAAAAACAAAGAAAAGCAGTCCTTTTAGTTTTCCTGCCCTTCTGGTCCTACTCAGGTTTCTCAGTCTCTATGAAATAGTTCCACTAACTAAATATACTGAAAAAACAAAGAACAGCCACAAAAAGCTGAGCTTTCTTTCATAAACTAGCACAGAAAGTTCTTTAAAGCATTATTGCCCTCATCATCATCTCCCTTCAAAGGTCACTTCAAGTTCCCCTGCATTCAGAGTTGAGCACAGCTCAGTTTATGACTTTCTCACAATAATTTTTTAGTGATACTAGGAAGCAGGTTGGGCTTAAATTCAGGATTCTCAGAGAAACAGTTATTTCCTAAAGGGTAGTCCTTCTCAAAAAATCCCATAACATTTTTTCTTTTTTTTTATGTGGGAAAAAAAAAAAAAAAAAGCTTTAAAGGTACTGAACTATGGCTTTGCACAGGCTAAGCTAAGCAAGCACTCTACCACTGAGTTACATCCCCAACCCTTTTTATTTTATTTTGAGACAGGGTCTAAGTTGCCAGGCTAGCTTCGAGCCTGTGATCCTCCTATCTTAGCCTCCCATGTTGAGGGATTATAGGCCTATGCCACCATATCACTTTATAGTCTCTAATAATCTTAGGAGGTGGTCAAGAAATGCCAACATGACTAGCCCAACACAGGTGAAAATTTTCAAGAACCATGTTCTACATAATTTATACAGGAAAAAAAAAGATTTTAGGAACGAGGTTAAAAGAAAGTGCATAACATTTCCTATAGCAAATTTAACTAACCCATGGTCACCTTAAATACAAAGCTGTAACTGCAGAAGTTGATTCTGTAGCAGGCTAAACAGCTAATATTAGCAATGGATTATTCTAATTGTATTAACTGATCCATTACTGGAATAAGTGAAGACATTTATTACTGAACATCTAATTATACAACTACCAGTTATATATCAAGCACCAACTAGATGATCAGCCCTGAGAAGTATATAAAGATGACAGTGACATAATTTCTATCTCAAGTTGTTTACAACCTAGTAGAAATGATAAATATATATGATTCAAGATAGAATGTGGAGCAGGGCACGGTGGCACACACCTGTAATTCCAGCAGCTCGGGAGGCTAAGGCAGGAGGATCTTAAGTTCAAAGCCAGTCTCAGCAATTTAGCAAGACCCTAAACAACTTAGTGAGACCCTGTCTCAAAATAAATAAATAAATAAATAAAAAGGACTTGGGATGTGGTTCAGTGGTTAAGCTCCCATAGGATCAATCCTTGGTACCAAAATAAGTGGAAAGGACAGCCAGGCATGGTGGTAAATGTGTACCTTTAATCCGAATGACTCAGGAACTGAGGTAGAAGGATCAAAAGTTTGAGGTCAACTTCAGCAACTTAGTGAGGCCATAAGTAATTGTCTTAAAATTTTAAATAAATTTTTAAAAAGAATTGTTTTTAAAAAAGAAAGAAGAGAAATGGAAAGTACCATAAGAGAAATACAGATAAAGAGCCACAGAAATCAAAAAAGAATCTGCTTCAGCTCAGTAGCAACAGGAGTTGTGACTTAAAGGATATGAAGGATTTGAAAATGAAGACAATGGACAAAAGAATACTCCTAGGCAGAAGGAAAGGTAAAACCAAAAAATGTGGACATGAATAAGCAAGGGTAAGTAACGGACAGTGAATAAGGAAATGATTCATTCACTGTGGAAGGATTAAGTTAAAAAAGAACAATAGGAAAATGAGATTACTAAAGTAGCTTAAATCCCATTAAGCCTCAAGTTCTCAATTCTATGAATGTTTCAACAAAATTAACACAGGTGCATAAAAATAAGTGGGAAATCATAATCTAGATATATATATGAATAAATAAAATAATAATTTTCATTGTTATCATAATTATATTGTTATATCATTCTATATATATAATTATATTATATATTATATATTATATTATGTAATTATATATATCTTAAGTGGTTTATTGTTTTGTTTTCTCTTTGGTACCAGGGATTGAACCCAGGGGTGCTTAACCACTGAGTCACATCCCAGCCCTTTTTTTAATTTTCTATATTGTTTTTTTTTAATATTTATTTTTAGTTTTAGGTGGATACAATATCTTTATTTTATGTGGTGTTGAGGATTGAACCCACACCTCACACGTGCTAAGTGAGCACTCTACCACGTGAGCCACAACCAAGCCCTATCTTAAGTTTTTATAGGTGTTCCACATCTGGAACCATGGGACAAAATGGTTAAAGCTAACTGTGGAGGATCTTGAGACAAGGTATATTTTTAAACTATGATAATAACATCTAGCCAAGACAATTACAATAAATTTTTACAAAAAAAAAAAAAGAACAAATTACACACTTTATGGCAATTTGTAAGAATGTTCATTTAATACAAGAAAACTTTTTATGTAGAAAACATGCATACATAAAGACACACACAAACAACAATTTAAAAAACACTAAAAACAGATTTGGAGCCAAGTGTGGTGGCACACATCTGTAATCTCAGTGGATCAGCTTGGGAGGCTGAGAGGAGGATTTCAAGTTGAAGGCCAACCTGGAAAATTTAGGAGACCATATTTCAAAATAAAAAGGGCCAGATATTCTCAGTAGTTCAATCCCCAGTATCACAAAAAACAAACAAACAAAAAATTCCAACATTTCAGTAAAAATAAGTATGGTGCCCTTTCCAAATTTTACTGGCTTTTCTTTCAGTTACAAAATAATTTTGTAAAATATATTTTTCAGATAAAAAAAATAGATGATAATCTTTTAAAAATATATAAAAATGAGATAATTCTTTCAGGTTTGTTTTTTGTTTGTTTGATTGTACCAGAGATTGAACCTAGGGATGCTTAACCACTAAGCCACATCCCCAGCCATTTTTTTATTTTTTATTTTGAGACAGGGTTTCACTAAGTTGCTTAGGGCCTCACTAAATTGCTGAGGCTGGCTTTGAACTTGTGATCCTCCTGCCTCAGCCTCCAGGAATTACAGATGTGAGCCCATGCACATGGCATTCTTTCAGCTACTAAAAGAAAGAAGAGGCCAAAAGACATGTGCTATAACAGCAGGATCATTCCTTTCGACTCCTATACTAACTAGCTAAATGTCAGTAAACTATTTACAAGATATTTCCTCCTTTTTCAAAACCTCCTTATTCAGGGTAACAGTACAGAGTCAAGCAAATGCAATATATAAACCTCAACTGAGGTTGGGAGTGTAGCTAGGTGGTGAAAGGTCCTGGGTCAGATACTCAGCACTGTTCAAAAAATAAAAATAAAAACCTCAACTGGATTCAGAATTTCTGGAGGGAAAAAAAAAAGAACCCCTTCCCCAAAAAATATTTTTGAGATAATTAAGGAAAGTTAGATATTATACTGGTATTTGATGCCATTAATTATAAATTTTCTTAGGTGTGATAATGGCATTGTGGGAATCAGGAAAATGAGTCTTTACTTTTAAAAGATGCATTTAGAAGTAGTTAGCAATAAAATGTAAGAACTTACTTCAAATGTTTTAAATTTTTAAAAAGTATATAAGCAGGGTGTGGTGGTGCACACCTATAATCCCAGGAACTTGGGAGGCTGAGGTAGAAGGATCATGAATTCAATGTCAGACTGTTTAACTTAAGAGAAAGCCTGTCTCAAAATAAAAAAATAAAAGAATTGAGGACACAGCTCAGAGGTAGAATGCCCCAAGTACAAGCCCCAGTACCACAAATAAATAAATAAGAATAAACAAAAAAAAAAATTAATTATTGAAACTACATGGAGAGTATTTGGATAGTCACTGCCCTTGTTTCTCTCTCTCTCTCTCTCTCTCTTTTTGTTTATTTGTATTTTTTCAAAAAAAAAAAAGAGGAGAGTATGGGGAAAAGAACAATTCCAGGCAATATGAAACTACGACCGGAGAAATACGAAGAAAACTTCTTACTCTTTTTCTTTAGTAGCTTCTGCTGACTTCTTAAGAACACAAATAATAGTTTCTGAACCTGGGTGTTTCAGCATTCTTCTCTAATTAAACACTAAAAACTAAAGACCATTAAATAGTTAGAAATCCTCAAGAAGAAAGCAATCATTTGGTAAGGTTTCTATGATAGTTCAAAGTGTTCTTCCTAAAAAAAATATTTTGGAAGCACAACTCTAACAACCAGATTTTAACATTTTTTAGTATCCTTAACCCCTTCAAGAAACTCATGAAAGCTATAAAATTTCTCCCCAGAAAAGTGCATAAACACCCCACATTTTGCTACAGGAAAGACTAAAAAGATAAAGGTTATCTTTCGTGTAAAATTTAAATATGTAAACAACTTGCATGGAAAAAAAATCATTGCTTTTTCACAGGTGTAAAGCGTCTGTAAATTTTCTGCTTTCATTTAAAAGGCAAAAGGGCGGACTTTTTTTTAAAGATTCATAAAGTCAAATATGGATTACATTTCTGGCTTTAGCGACTCTGGCTGCTGTTATATGGGCAGAAATCAATTTTCAAAGCACGAAAGCATGCCTTTCTATGTGTTGACTCTGGGCAGGTACACGTCCTCCTATCTGGACAAGCCCGACAAACCACCACGCCTGCCCTTTCTCTTCTCCTTCCCTCCGGGACTCAACACAGAGTTCCAACTTCAGAGCCACGGATCTCCAAAAAGAATTGTGGGTATTGTAGTCCTCTGCACAGGCGCATTAGAGGAAGAATATGGAGATTTACAAAGGCTGCAGAAGAATCCATTGTTTAATATACAGAAGACCAATGATTCCTGAGAATGAGTCAGGGAAAAAAAATAATGCCACCTAAAACGGAATCAGAAAACGTTCCACGGACTACAAACCCAGTATGCTTTGCACCCTAAGCTGCAACGCAGCCACTGCGCCTGCGCCCCGCGTAGCCGGTTACTTGCCTCTAGTAGGCTGCAGTCCCAGGCGGCGGCCAAGACCGCAGCTGATGAGGGTCGGCGGCCGCGGCCGCTGCCGGCCCTACCACCACCAGGAGCCACCGCAAGATGTGGGTTTTTGGTTATGGGTCCCTGATCTGGAAGGTGGACTTCCCCTATCAGGATAAGCTGGTCGGATACATCACAAACTACAGCAGGCGCTTCTGGCAGGGCAGCACTGACCACCGCGGGGTCCCCGGCAAGGTGAGAAGCCAGTCAGTTCCCACAAAGCCCCCAGACCACCGCTCCCCAACTCCAGGCAGGTCTGTATGGGACCCACACCCAAATGCTTTCCGAGGGCCGAACACGTGGGTCAGGGGTAAAACTGCTGTATCTATGCATCTTCCTTGGCCACCTGCCCCCTACTTCTCTTCCAAACCAGAACACTCCTTTGAAGCCGGTTAAGATGCTGACGATTCGTTTCTTGAAACAAAAAGCATGAGCACAAGCACATAAGCTTTCCCTAGCCTGATATGCCTGGCAAGAGGGTTCCATTTCTTGGCAGCCTCTGCCAAAAAAACAAAAACAGTGGCAGGAAAATGAAATTTCATGTCACCATGGAGGTGAAATAGTAAAATCAACTTGCAAATTCAGCTTTTTCGCAATAAGTTTGTTGACATGTCTGCATTTTGCCATACTTTCACTGGTTTGAGTTTAAACGTGCGTGTAATTTCTAAGTTTTTTTTTTTTTTAATATCTTTCCAACTCTTTTTATAACACTAACATTACAGAACTGGTTTCCACAACTGTATCAAGTTATTGATCATTTTAGTTGTCAGGTACCCCGAAGTTAAATGAAGTCCCCTGTTTTGTTATATTAGTAACAGGGCCAAAGCAGCATTATTTAAGTTTATTTCGTGATAGTTCCCATAAATAAAAAATAAAATTTCTTTGATTTTTTTTTCAGTCAGTCATAAAAAGACATTCGACTCAGTGTGTTCAGAGAATTAGAAACAGCTTATTTACACAGCATATGGGCTACAAAACTAACTAATCCATGAAGAAAACTAAATCTGTGATAACTGTAACTCCAATAACTTGGACACTTACTTAGTTAGCCTCCTAACTTTTGAAGGAGTATATTTTTGTTTGCTGATGCTACTGTGATTTTGGCAGTGCTGGGAATTGAAGCTTGACTACTGTTTTAAAAAAATTAATATTGACCTAAAAACATGATATCTAACATACTGGAAATCTGACAGAGGAAGTGTTTAAGGTTAATTCCAAAGAAACACTGCAGTGTGGAAAGGGTAAGAAATCAGGATTCTAAAGTAGCTTGTATGACACAGAATTAAAATCAAACAGGGGGGATAGGAAGGGCAGCAGAATAAAATAGACACTAGTATTGCAAAAAATAAAAGGACAGTGGCTTAGTACATTTATAGGCCAAGAGAAACATGACCTAAGTATTTTTAAGAATGTTATACAACAGTATTCAAGACATTAAAAAAAAAATCTAACCTAAATAAATTGTTCTTTGAGTTTCCAGTTTTTATATGAGCACTTAAAATTGCCATTCTGAAAAGAAAGCCTTAGCCAGGGCTTTCATTTTAAGAATAAATTTTAAATATGTATCTATGTGGTGGGAGGCTAAGAAAGGAGAATCCCAAGTTCTAAGTCAGCCTCAACAAAAAGCTAGACGCTAAGCAACTCAGTGAGACCCTGTCTCTAAATAACATACAAAATAGGGCTGGGGATGTAGCTCTGGTCTAGTGTCCCTGAGTTCAGTCCCCAGTACCCCCCCCCCCAAAAAAAAATGTATCTATGTGGGGTTTTTTGGGTTTTTTTTAGTTGTCGATGGACCTTTATTTAATTGATTAATTTATTAACCTGGTGCCTCACACACGCTAGGAAAGCGCTCTGCCACTAAGCTCCAACCCCAGTTCTGTATGTGGTTTTAATAGCATATTTTACTACTCTGGTCTCAACCAAAATATGTTTGTTACATAGTACACAGAGATATGTATACTGTGAAACAGACTGATAATAAGAAACTGTCCAGCCCTGCGAGGTGGCACAGGCCTGAAATCCCAGTAGCTAGAGATGTGGTTAAGTGCCCCAAGTTCAATCCCTAGTTACCTACTCCCCCCCTCCAATTAAAAAAAAAAATGTCTAGTACATGTTTTGGGTTTTTTTTTTTTTTTTTTGGTAATACGGACTGAACCCAGGGGTGCTTTACCACTGAGCTGCATCCCCAACCCTTTTATTTATTTACTTAGAGGCAGGGTCTTGCTAAGTTGCCTAGAGCCTCCCTGAATTGCTGGGGCTGGACTTAAACTTGCAGTTCTCCTGCCTCGGCCTCCTAAATCCTTTGGATTACCAGAGTGCCCCAATGCACCTGAAGTAACTATATAAACCAGTATCTCTTTGTATTTAAATTTACTGAAATAAGCCAAACACACCTATTTGGGAGGCTGCAGGAGGCCAGCCTGGGCGATTTGGTGAGACCCTGTCTCAAAATAAAAATAAAAGGAATGAGGATGTAGCTTAGTATTAAAAGTGTTCCTGGATTCAATTCCCAGTACTTAGAAAATACTAATAATAAGTACTGAAATATAGAAAGTTAGAGGGGAAAACTGCATTGGATAACAGTTTTACATCTTTTAAAGAATTCATCCTTGTTAATTAAAGTATTTTCCTGGTGTTCTGTTGAAAAATTAGATAGGACTGGGCTTGGTAGTGCACACCTATAATCCCCAAGACTTGGGAGGCTGACACAAGAGGAGCACAAGTTCAAGGCCAGCCTCAGCAATTTAGAGAGACCCTGTTTCAAAAAATAAAAAGGTATGGGGATGTAGCTCAGTGGTAAAGTGCCCCTGAGTTCAAACCCCAGGACAGCCCACCCCAAAAAAACATAATTTGCTTCACATTTTTTATTAAAATGTATTTCTGGCCTTATATAATGTTAACTGTTTGACAGTTATACAAATGGCTAGAGAAATATCCAGCAAATTAGAATGATTTAGATACTATTTAGGACATAAACTTTTTTTTTTTTTTACAACAACCTACCCTAGTAAGTTAGTCCTCAAAAAAGGCATCATTAATTTATACATATACATAGTGCAAGGTGACATCTTTTGGAAAAATACTGAACATACTTGCTTTGTTAAATTTTACTTTTTAGCTTCATTAAACATTAATTTATTTTTAAGTTTAATTAATAATTTCATTTATATATAATAAAACTGGCAGTTTCTCACCAAAGGATTTTCTTTAAATGGGAAATACTTTTCCCTACAAATAGAATGTATCACAAACTCAAAAAAAAAAAAAAAAAAGCCTAAATTTTAATGGGTGAGACAAACTTGTGCACATTCAACTAAATACCCAACTTTTCTTTTGGATCAGAAACACCACTTATTACCCTAAGAAAACACACTTGATATGTCTCATGATGACCCTCATTTCACATCCTCCATGCCCTTTCTTCAGTTTCATTGCCCGCCCCCCCCCCAAAAAAATACTTAAGTAAATTTACAAATTTATATTGTTTCTCAATAACATTTATCTTAGCAACAAAGAGCTCAAGGTTTAGAAAAGATTTTTAAGTAAATTTATCAGTAATGCCAGTAGTCCATGTCTGTATCAGTCATTAACAGTCACAAGACTACAAATATTTACCCTTAAAATGACTTCCTATAGTTTTTTTGTTTCACCTACCACCATCCAAATCAAAACTTCAGCTACCCAGCTACCCTTTCAACAATTACAACTGAGGATCTACATAAGTAGGAGACACTTGTGCAAACAAAAATACTTGGAAAAGAAATGAATAAAAGAAGCACTTAGAGTATTCTGAGAAGGAGCTTCTAAATTTGCCTAGGAACTGAGCCAAAACTTTATGGAGGGAGTGGCCAGATACACCAAGTAAACAGAAGGGAGAAGGGCATTCCATACACATTAGGCAATACATTTACAGAGTTTTAAATAATTCAGTACATCTTGAGGAGACAAGTGGGAAGAAATGAGGCTTGTAGTTAAATCATGCTAAGGAACTTTAATTATATCCTGTAGACTTAACAGCCCTGAAAAATTCAAAGCCAGAAAGTCATTTGTGGCCCAAGTAAAGAACAGACTGGAGGGAAACAAAAGTTACATACTAGCCACCTCCTACTCAAATGCCTTAGTAGCTCCTTATTTCCTGTTTTTCCCAAATATTAGTGGCTTATTTCCATTGTCCCTGATTTAAACTCTTTTTAAAAAAAAAAAAAAACATAGGACCTCATAAACATTGGGCAAGCACCCTACCCCTGAGTTATATCCCTAGCCCTTAACTTCGCTCTTTGACTTTTCAAATCTGCCTCTAACTTCTCTAGTCAACTTTCTGAATCATCTCCTATATATGGGTGACCCTCTGCTAAAGTCAAACTCCTGGCCTGTTCTACTCTTGCCTCTAAGCCCTTATTCATAAATCATGATTCATTATGCTTTTTGGCAAGAATTTTATCTTTCTAGCCACCTAAGAGTCAGTATTCTTACTGTATATTTAATATATATATATATATATATATATATATATATATATATATATATGCCTTCGCCCTCAAGTATTCTCTACTTATTTGGCATGTTGATTTGTATTCCAGAGGTATATTTCTTGGAAATAAGAATCAAAAATTTCACTGTAAATTTGAAAATAATTAGAAGTAATGTGACAGTATTTAATGAGTCACACCAATATATGCATCCTCATTGTTGTATTATTGTAAATTTAAACTTCCAAGAACACAAGAATTTTTAATTTATAGTTCATCTATTGCAAATATTATACAGCTATTAAAATGTACAAGACTTATGGGAAAATACAAATAAATGAGAAATCATAATTCAAAATCCCATGTGTCCTTTGATTACAAATTCTTTATACAAATGGATAAAGACAAGAAGCAAACAGAACAAAGATGACACAAATATCTGAATGATTTAGGCTGTGTGCCAGTCATTAGGCATACATGTAAGGAAACTTGTGGCTTGCAACTCAGCATTCTTGCTAATGTTAACATGTCAGTAGACAACCTTTGGCACTAGGTAAGAATTTCATAAAGAAAAACTAACATACCTGTGTATATATATATGGAGAAATACTAGTCAAAAATAAATAAATAAAGGAGTGAAAGGAAGATCAATAAAAGAGAGGAGAGAGAGCAGGGAGGAAGGAGAGAAGGAAAAGAGGGGAATAAGGATTGAAATCAAAATTCCTTATGTGTATTATTTTGTCAATGAACCCAAATACTATGTAAATTATAATGCTCTCAAGAAATTTTAAAAGAAAAGCTTACTTTGGTTTAAATCACCTTTGTGACTTAAATTATGGAATATTCCAAGTCTGGATTTTCTCTAAGGCTTTCAATTTATAAATAAAGATTACTTTTTCAGCCACTGAAATGGAACAACAAATAAAGTGTTTTGACTTGATAATATATAATTTCAATTTCAAGTGGAATGATACAAAGCCAGCTTTTTGTTTTTTTCCTCAGAGTAACTAATTTTATTACTCCAGCTTACATCAGCTCATTCTGGTACAGTAATTTTCTTAGGTTTTCACAGCCTTTTAGAAATATCCATCTCCCAAGCTCACTAAAATTTCACAGGAAAACATTAGTCATTCTGAGGAAGATAAGAAGTGGATAAAAGAAAACTTTAGACCTGGTAGAGAAGATAAAAACTAAGAGAAAATGCAGCAACAATAAACCCTGATGTGACAGGTCTGTGTGTGTGTGTATGTGTGTATGTGTGTCTGTCTGTCTGTCTGTCTTGCTCACTGTCTCAACAAACCTTTTTTATGAAGCTACTCCTGAATACCCACTTTATGAGCTGTCTCTAAACAGGGAGCATGGTAGCGTAGGAAGCTTACTTTAAAAAAAAAATCTTTCTGAAATACCATCATTTCTTAATTTCATAGCTCCTCGGGTTGCTTCTTATAGTCTACTAGCTGTTTATTCCTTTCAATAGCTATGGCTTTTTGTTGTTGTTCTTCTTCTTTTTAGATAAGCATGACAGTATATTTAGACATACATGGAGTATAACTTGACCTGTGTAAAAACCAATATGGAAAAATAAAATTGCCTAGAACACAGGTGGTCTAACTGTCCCATATAAGAGAAACTGTATGGATAGATCAGTTCTTTTTTTCTTAATTTATTTATTTTTATGTGGTACTGAGAATCGAACTCAGTGCCTCATCACGTGCTAGGTAAGTTCTCTATCACTGAGCTACAATGGAAGCCTTGGGCAGACCAGTTCTAATATTAACTTCTCACTAGGGCAATGTAAAATTCATTTAGAAATATAAAACAGATGCCTACCTTGAAGCACCTACTGCCGTAAATAGAAAGGTAAAGGCAATTCTTAACTCACAGGTGCAAATTACTCATTTACTTGCACTTGATACCTCATGGTATATATACCGTGTTAGCAGTAGTTCAAAGTATATACCCAAAACCATTTCACTGGAATCACATGGGAAATGGATTACAAATGAACATTCTCAGGCTTCAGACCTAGGTGTGGCCTATCAATAATATGTGTCTATCAAATCCTTCAGTGATCTGATCAAAGTCTGAAATACTTCCGTATAGGCAAACACCCTGAATTATCTATATTTTTCCTTACTAAAACTATTAAAAATCTTGTTTTTCTCAAGGGGAAAACCAGAATTTTTATTTATAATTGCTGCTTCTATTTGCCTTTCATTCTAGATAGACCTTAATCATTGCTGTTCTTTAATTTTAAATGAATTTATCTAATACATGTAAATTGATGGAAATATTTTAGAAAGCTGTTCTACTTTAGAATAAAGGTAGACTCTCTTACTTAGCTCACTTTAAACTTTATCTTTAAAAAATGAGTACGTTTTGCAAAGTGTGGGGGCAAATGCCTATAATCCCAGAGGCTTAGGAGGCTGAGGCTGGAGTATCAAAGCCAGTCTCAGCAATATACCGAGACCCAGTTACTATATAAAAAATTTCAAAAGGAGTCTGGAAATGTGGCTCAGTGGTTAAGCACACCGGATTCAATCCCTAGTACAAAAAACCCACATTTTTAAAAAGTGCTTCTTAGAGTAAATATAGTTAAAATATTCCATGTCAACATTAAGTCACTAATATTTGGTTATTTGATTCAGAATTTTTTTTTTTTTTTTTTTACCTTTCTCAAAACAGCCTGGAAGAGTTGTGACTCTCGTTGAAGATCCTGGGGTATGATATAATTATTTCTTTTTATATAAACTTTAATTGTAAAAATGTTGAGATGTTTCTTAGCTCTAATAATTAAATTTTATGAATAGTTTTCAGACTATTGAAACTATACTAAGTCTAGAACTCTTCTGTATTTGTCGTGAGTTATTTGGCTTTGTTTTTCATGTTTGTAGAAAATTAGGCCAGTAGGAAAAGTTAGAATGCAGAATGCAAAGTAACAACAAAACACAACCAAATGACATGTATTTTCATTCTAGCAAGTTTTTTTTTTAAGAGTTTGAGAATTTTGTGGTCCCCTTTGACATTAATAGATAGCGGTAGTGTGGCTAAGAATCAAATATAACTGTGAAGTCTCTCTTCCATTTGCTAGAAGTCTAATATTTTCAGCAGAGAACTAAGTAAAGAATTCTCACTTTCTGTGTTGCCTAAATTTATCAGTAAGACTTTGTTTTTAACAGGTTTGAAGTATCAGAACTCTTAAATTATAGTTCTCAGTTTCTTAAATATTTTTAATCATTTTGTTTGCATACAGATCTAAAATTTTATATTGTGGAATTAAAGATTAAATTTTGCAAAGGACTTTGATATACAAAAATAAAACAGCTACCAATAACAGATCAATAATGGTATAGACTAGGAAATGCTTTCCTAACTTACACTAGGGAAAATCATCTATAAAAACAGCTTTAAGCTGGTAACTATAACTTCTAATCAACAGTATTAAAAAAAACAAATGTTTTTATAGAATTTCTTAATGACCCAATGAAAACATGAAATTTTCATTTCAGTCCCATTAGTTGATAAAAAAAAAAAAAATCTGATTTAAAGTTTTTAGTGATAAATATGTTGTGCCTATGATACAAAGAAATTATTTATTCAGATTTTTAAATACTGATTTCCTTTATTGTTTAGTATAACCTCTTCAATGAACTCTAAGTAAGACAAAACAACTGCATTTTCTTCTACCTATACAAGATATTTTCTTAGACATAACACATTTTTACCTATTTTGATTAGGCTTGTAAATGCTAACTAGTGTGTTCTTTTATTTTCCAACAGGGTTGTGTTTGGGGTGTTGCTTACAAACTGCCAGTAGGAAAAGAAGAAGAAGTAAAAGCATACCTTGACTTCAGAGAGAAAGGAGGCTACAGAAACATAACAGTCATTTTTTATCCAAAAGATCCCACAACAAAACCATTCAGTGTGCTGTTATATATTGGAACGTGTGATAATCCTAATTATCTTGGTCCTGCCCCTCTGGAAGACATTGCTGAACAAATTTTTAATGCAGCTGGTCCAAGTGGAAGAAATACGGAGTATCTTTTTGAGCTTGCCAATTCTATTAGAAGCCTTGTACCAGAAGATGCAGATGAGCATCTTTTCTCCTTGGAAAAATTAGTAAAGGAACGTTTAGAAGAAAAACAGAACCTCAGTTGCATATAAAGACCTAATCATTAACTTATTTAAATAGTAGATCATTTAGTCTTCAAAGAGTAACTTCAGCACACAATGACAATATTTTGGAAATTTGTTTAGTTGAAGATCTTATTGTTTTTAATGTTATAGCCAGGATATCATCTAAATGTATAATTTAAGTGCAAGTGTCCTGAAACACATATATTCAGAAGACTGACATACAGAGAAAGAAAAAATTCAAGTTTTAATAATATAATGATTTCCTAATTATATGATATTGAACACTTGCTCATCACAAGTGAATTCTTTAGAAACATACAAAGTACTCCCTTCGGCAGCACATATACTAAAATTGGAACAATACAGAGAAGATTTGCATGGCCCCTGCACAAGAATAACGGGCAAATTTGTGAAGCATTCCATATTTTTAAAGAAGCAAAATATAGAAATATAGAAAGACTTGGTTCAGTTCTTGTTTGTATCAGAGTAAAATAATCTTGTTTCATTTCACAATACTATTTTGAGGTTATAGAGAATTAAGCCAGAAGTCCAATAAATATTACAAATATTACTATACCTTCAATATGTTCCTATAAAATAATTCTATAACGATGGTTAGAATATGTAAGCTTAAAATGATGTGCAATTTTAAATGTATGTTAATACAGACGACATTTTATTTTGGCCTTGAATGTGAATTTCCTTGTTATTCAAGTATAAAATGAGACTTTCAAATTCAGGCCAAAAGAAATTGGCATTTTTTTATTATAAAAATATCCTTGGAATTTTAGTCTGCTGTATCTCTCCTTTCTTGAATAAATGCATTACACTACATAGAAAATAATTCATTTAGCTAAACAGTACAAAATAATAGTACAAATCACATCCACTAATAATAATGTCATTTATTTTGTACTTATTCTGAAATGGAAAAAAAGGGATAGACTGATAATTATAGATTAACAGAAACATATACACACATATATATAATGAAATTTGCGTGTTTGAAATAGCCTTTGGAATTATAATTGTTTAAAAAATTAAATGGTATTACCTGATTATGTGCTACACAACTTTATATTCTTTCCTGAATCTTGTCACCTAAATAGGAGTATCAACTGTGTTTGTGCTATTACTCACATAGGAAAAAAAATACTTAAATTATGAACTCATGTAAAATTATCCCTAATTTAGGAGCTAAATTGTAAGATTGTAAGAGATTTCTTTCTCAATACAATACAGCCTATAGAATCTTTCAACATGAAATGAATTTCAGTATCATGTTAAATCTAATAGAAAACTTTATAAAACTCTTCAAATCTACACATGACTAATAATTAGTACTGAAGTTTTTCACACAAATTACTGTTGTCCTATATAATACAAACAATTGTCCTTCCCCATTTTTCTATTAGTCTCTTAGTAACCATTTTAAATATTTTCTAATAATTTAAATTTTTAATTTTCCTAAAGTCATTTCACATGTCTAGTACTACAGAAAATAAACGAGCATTTATTAATATCTAGGATACATAGACTGCACTAGGCACTTATGGAGGCAATATGTCCCATTTTTTTGTATAACTCCTCTGAGCTAGCTTTTACAGTAACCTGCACTCAGTTAAATGGCTGAAATCCAGATCTCTCTTTTAAAAACCACATGAACTTAAAAACCACATTTTCACCATCCTGCATCTTTTCTCCAAGAGGTAAAAAACTTTCACATTTTTGTATAATGAAACAGTATATAACTTATTATTACACAAAAAAGTTAATTTCTATTCCCACACATATAATAAGCCTATCCAAGATTCACAGGCCACAGCTCAGAGTCATATAGGTCAATACAGAGGAACAGCTTTTCATTTTACAAAAAAATCAAGGCCCAAAGGAGTTTGGGACTTACCAAAGTGATTCTTCTACCATTTAACATGTACAAATAAGTTACAAAAAACAGGTTATTTGGGGGAATATCCAATTGCATATTTTTCTAGGCTTTCAGTTAGAAGTTAGACTAGAAAGTATATGAACATATTCATGGTATAACATCAACATTTATAGTAAGGCTGTGTTCCAAAGAGCCAGGAGTTTTCATTAGGATGGGCAGAAACCTGAATAAAATGAAGAAGTTAAACAGTACTATATTAGAGAGAAGCTGGGGTCTGGAGTCTTCAAGTTAGGAAGAACTATTAACTCTGGTACAAAATTATCTAGAATGAAAGTCTTCCTAGCAAAGCTGCAAGTCTCTCTTAATGGCCCTCAAATCTTAATTTCAAAACATTTTTTTTCATTCTGCCATAACTACATACATGAAACTAGGATTCTCTTCTTCAGAGTACAAATGTTAGGTAGGTGTTACATTTTAGAAATCAAAAAAGTATGAGTACATTTAGAAAAGAAACCTTTTTCTTAATATGACATAATTTATTTTAAATATGTAAGTCAGCATAATTTTCATGGTTACAAATCCTATAAGCCTTAAGTTGAAAGTCAGAAGGAAGTTAAAAACATATCACTGCTATTACTACTTAACATCATTCTCGATATTCCATCCAAAACATTTAGAAACAGATATTAGAAGTATAACAAATATTGCCATTATTTCCTGGAAGTGATTATTTACCTAGAAAAAATACTTATAAATAAAAATTCACTAAGATACTTAGGAAAAATACTCAATGGGTTTTGTATAAAAATGATGTTAACTATTATGATGCTAATATTCATGAGAATAAAATATGAAAACAGAAATATTGAGAGGGAAATTGTAAGAATGTGCTGATCTCTGGTAGATTTTTTAAAATACCAGCAAAACAAAAGTATTAAAGTACTGTGATACTGGTGTATAAATACAAGTCAGAATAGTGCACTCATCTATATGTTTCTATGTATGTTCCTATCCTGAATACTAAAGGTGACATTCACTCACCTGGAACAGCTGAAAGGATTGGAAGATTCTGCCCAGAATAAATTCAGACATCACTTGGAAAAGCAGTTCCCAGAATCATGAGACACTGATCCTAAGGAAGAGCTCGTTCAAATAAATTGGATGGGGGCTGGGGATGTGGCTCATGTGGTAGCGCGCTTGCCTGGCATGCATGCGGCCCGGGTTCGATCCTCAGCACCACAAAAAAGATGTTGTGTCTGCCAAAAACTAAAAAATAAACATTAAAAATTTTTCTCTCTCTCTCTTTAAAAAAAATAATAAATAAATAAATTGGATGTTTTTAACTAGAAACATGTTTTAACTTTTCAATTTCTATTTTTTAAATTAGTAAAAACAGTTTCATTGAGTCCAAAGAGTTAAATATGCATATATATATATATATATATATATATATCTCTTTTTTTTTTTTTTTTGCTACCCACCGTCAGAATGTTCAACTCTTTATTTCAGGTAGTAGGGAAAGAAATACCTGAGTCTGAATTTTTTCTTAGGGCATCTACCCTACCTTCCATCAAGTACTCCTCAGAGATTCAAGAGTGGTGGTAATTCAAGAGGCTGAGGCAGTAGGATTGCAAGTTCAAGACTAGCCTCAGCACCTTATCGAGATCCTAAGCAACTTAGTGAGATGCTGTCTCTAAATAAAATATAAAAAAGGCTGGGGATGTAGCTCAGTGGTTAAGAGCTCCTGGGTTCAATTGCTAATACCAAAAAAAAAAAAAAGAAAAAGAATTACTCCTCAGACTAAATTTAGTGTAAAAGTCCTAAGGGACAGTTTCAGAGAGAAGGGTTTTGGGGTGTGGGTCACAGCCACCACATACAGGGAGAAAATTAGAGCAAAATTTTTTATATCAGGAATATTCAGTCCAGTCCTCTGAGCTCCCACAACCTAATCATTTCATTATGTATTTCAAGACTTCATTGCAGGGAGTTCCTCTGAAGATAGTAGTAGGGGAAGATACTGGCTAATGCTTACATTATCTTAAGAGGGCCCTTGCTCTCAGGCTTATGGACCTGATATATAAAGTACTGCTACAAATTCTTCCCAACCTCTTATTTGTATCAAGGAGGAAAAAGGGGAAAGAGGTAAAGAAAAAAAGCAAGAAAATAAAAACGGGGAGGGACATCAAGTTCCCTTGCCTTTGATATGGATGCCCTGGACTTGCTGGGAAGTTCTTTGTCCAAACCTTTTAGGGTATGAACCAAGCTCAGATGGAGTCCAAGGAAGGGGTGTTCTAAGGAAGATAAACTAGAGCCACTGCCCTCAGACTCAGTCTTCATCATCATTCAATGATGTAGTCTAAGAGTTGCTCCCATCATCTTCCTCCCCACCTCCTTCTTATTCTCTTCTGGTCATGGTAAAGGATAACAGTTGACTTAAACAGTCTGACAAATGTGTCCCTGGACCCTGGAGCCACACCTCCTCTCCAATCTTTTCTTGCAGACTCCTGGCTGATAAGGACTGTACATCTGAACTTGGTCCTGCCTCTTCACATGCAGCATACTCCTTAGGCAAACAATTCTCAAGCCAGAGATCCATGTCCAACCTGTATGTACTGTTTCCACAGCTCCTCAGCCTGGCTCTTATATTGTTCTTATGGGTCCTGGGAGAAGAGCTGCCAATCTCTACCACGCAATTCCTGTTGCAGCTCCCTTCTTAAATATAAATCCTGATAGAACATGTGGTATCTTTTCAAGGATGGTCTCTTTGGCTCTCCTTGAAATTTCATCTTCTTGGAAAATAAAAACATAGTTTTCTGGATGATATCTCACTTCCTCCACATTTCCTGAAACTTCTTTTGGCATTCAGTTCAGTAGACATTGGGGATAAAAGATTTCTTTGAGTGCTGAACTACAGTAGGACAATCTTCATTGGGTTGATGATAAGTATTCCCTCAAACTACTGTTTCTCCAGGAAATCTTGAATATATATACTTTTGCTTCATTTGCTCTAGAAGCTCCTCCACGGGGTTTTTTGTTTTGTTTTGTTTTTAAATGTAGATGGACACAATACCTTTGTTTATTTATTTTTATGTGGTGCCGAGGCTCAAACCCAGCGCCTAGCACTTGCGAGGTAAGCACTCCACTGCTGAGCCACAACCCCAGTCCCCTTCCATGGATTTTGATTAGGTCCCAATTGTACTGCGAAATTAGCCCAGTGCTTTTTTTTTTTTTTTTTTCTTTTAATTTTCTTAGTCATAGATGGACCCAATAGCTTTATTTTTATTTATTTATTTTTATGTGATGCTGAGGATCGAACCCTGAGCCTCATGCATGTGAGGCAAGCAAGCGCTCTACAACTGAGCCACAACTCCAGCCCCAGTGCTTCTTTGTGAAGTCCATAATTACATACTTTTTTCTATTATTTTCAGGAATTGTTAACTTGTTCTTTAGCATCTAATTCTTTCTAAGTACAATACTTTTTCAATTCAAGAAATCTCTAACCATTTAAATGTGCACATTTCCCAAGAACAACCCTTAAAAGCTCCTTTTTCCTAGTCTAGACATGACTCTGTTACCTTTTTTTTTTTCTTCCAGAAACACAGAGGTTTATTTAGGGAAGCAGATACATATCCAAGAAAGAATAGTGGCAATCTCAAGACAGAGACACCTTTGGGATTACGCAAGGAATACACATTCAAGGGAGAATGTGGGCCATATCAAGAGTGAGAGATATGTTTCGGGGGATGACTCTGTTACTTTGAAGTGATGCTGTCATCGGGTAGGAGTTTTTTGTTTTGTGCTTCTGGGAGGGGAGAGTACTGGGGATTGAATCCAGGGGCACGTTAGTACTGAGCCACATCCCCAGACCTTTTTATTTTTTAAGACAGGGTCTCACTAAGTTA